CATACAAATGTAGATAGACATAGACCCATGACTAATTTATTTTGCAAAAATCAAAATACTGTAATTTAATTCATTGCGAATAAATGCAATCTGCTTCAAGTAAACAAAGACTATTTTAGTTACCTAGGTATTTTTTTAATAGCTTCATTGAGGTATGGTGACATGCAATAAACCGCACTTATTTAACATGTACAATTTGATACGTTTTAACATTGTGCATACCCATGAAATAATCACCATAATGACTACGTATCACTATCAAAAGATTTCTGCTGCTATGTTAGAACCCCAGGCAATCACGGCTATGCTTTCTGACACTATAGTTTCTATGTTATGGAATTTCATATAAATGGCACAAGTCATGCAGTACACACCTGTGTGTGTGTGTGTATGTGTGTGTGTGTGTGTATTTCTTACTCAGTATAGCTATTTCGAGAGTCACCCATGTCGTAGCTTGTATTTATCTGTCATTTCTTTTCATTGATAAGTAGTATTTTGTTGTATGACTATACCACATTTTATTTGTTTGATGGACATTTGGGATGTTCCTAGTTTTTTTGCTATTAAAAATAGAGCTATCGTGATAATTTTTGTACAAGTTTTTGCATGGATATATGCTTGAGGCAGATGCTTTTAAATGATAAAACTATCACGTAAGATTCTTGAGTTGTAAGTATAGAGCACGGCATAGTTAAAATATCTCTCCATAGTTTGAACGAAATCCAAGTTTCTTCAGTACTTTGTTATAAGGTTAGGAGCATAACTGCCTACATGTAGGAGTGTAATCTAAGCTTTGTCCATTTTGCTTTTACTCCTCTCTGCCACCTATAAATACGGCTTCCCATATCGATTATAAAACCTCTCTATTTCTGAGCAGCTGCCCCTTATCACTGATCATTCTGTGATTTGCTCTGCCCCTCAATCACTTGGTCTGAATCTAGCTCCATTTGTGAAAAGAGTCTTGTTTGGTTGATGGATAGTCTTGTGTCGCAGGCCCACTTCTGTGCCTTCATCCCTCTGGATACCAATATACACCCAGCTGCCTTCTTGTATCACCAGTGCCTGATATCCGGGGTACCAGCTTTCACCAGCTGCCTCCACTACCTGCTTATTCTGCTAGGCAGGTTTTTACTGTCTCATAACTGCCCCCTAAGTGCACTTTCTCCTTTATTCCAAACTGCTAGACTGCATTTGACTCATAGATTTAAAGTATTCTCTCTGTGCTATTTGGACCAATCTAAATCCCAGTGTGTCGCTTGATCTGCTCTCTTAATCCTGGGGACTTGACTTCTCTTGGTTCTTAGAGGACTACCACATACAGAATTGCCACTGTTTCCAATAAGCTTCCTTCTGAAGGATGGTCCACGTGTTCTTCCAAGTAAATGACACCAGACCTGCTACTGCTGTCGCCATTCACCAGGGACAGGCAGAGTTGACATTTCGGTTCTGTTGCCTAGTTTGTAAAATTTACGCGAAGTCTGAAGTTAACTATATATTTTAAGTTGTCTATTATTGTTTTCTTTCATGAAACTGAGATACAGAGAGAGGAAGAGAGAGGAAAACACACTCATGCTGCGTTGTCTCATTCCTTCAGCCCTCCCAACCAGCCAGGATTGTGGGCACACACGTACCTGGCATGCGCTGATCTTCTACGTGGATTCAGCATTCCTTGCTCATTTTGTTACTGCTGCGCCACCAAGTCAGCCTTTACCTTAAAAGCTTAAGTGGAATAACATTTATTTGTTACATACTTGTGTTTGTACTAGTTCTCTGGTCTACATTCCTCCCTTTGTATACTTCAGCCACACCAAACTTCTTTCTATCTGTCCAGCATAGGCCTAGAGTTATTAACATCTCAGGTGAAATGTGAATAATTATCTTAGAGAGGCCTGTTTTGACCACGCTACAGCTACCTCACTCCACCAATAAATCACTATCTTACTCTGTTATATTTTCTTTATAGCATTTATAACTTACTAAATCTCTTTCACTCCTTTACTACTTATTAATTGACCTCCTACCCACCTACTTATATATATGAGCACCATGACAGCAGGGGAGCAAGGAGCTTGAAGTATGGAATGAAACAATGCTTATATTGAGCAAAAGAGATACTTAGTACATATTTCTTGTATATATGAATGCATAAATTACTCTGTCTGCCTACTGAAATTCTATTTATCTTTTGAAGTCTAATTCACATGCTGTTTTTCAAGGACCTCCCCTATCAGATTTGTTTTGTCTCTTACAGAGTGCTTTTAATTTTTTATTTGACCTTATTTTCTTTTGTGTGTGTGTGTGTGTGTGTGTGTGTGTGTGTGTTGTAAATGTCATGCCCTCATTCTTAGAATAAAATATAGTGGAACACAGGGACCATATTTGACTTACTTGAATATTCAGTTTAGATTATTTTCAGTGATATTGAGAAGATAGTTGTTAAAAATCAAAAATAAATGAAGATATTACAAAACCACTGAGTGTAATATATTTTTCTTATTATGAAATATTTAAAGCATATGGAAAAGAATCAGTAACATCATAATCAATACCATTGTACCCCATCACAAACTCAAAAAAGTTTATATTAAAGACACATTTGAAACCCCTTTGTGACTATCCCTCATCCCTTTCCCTTCCTTCCTTCCCTGAAGGAGTGATTCTGGATCAGGTGCCCATCATTCCTGTATGTATGTGTTTGCGTGTGTATTTTATCATTTCTCTTCATCACTCTCTGTATTCATGTGTATCATTTACAGCACACAGTATGAATCTTTTTGTTCCTTACTTATTTTCCCAACATTGTGTTTCTCAAATTGTCCATATTTTTATATGCAGTGTTATACTCTAGAGGTGAGATCATTTATTTTGATTTTTGTATAGTATTCTCTTACCATTTGATTGTAAGTACAGTATTCTTTAACAATTCTTTGTCAATCTTGCTGAAAGACATTTAGGTTTCCCTTTTACTCTTGCAAACAATACTGACTGCAGCAAACATTTTGGTGTAATGGTTCCATGGTATCCTAAAGAGTTAATTCATGGTTTATATTGAGAAGTGGAACTTCTGGGTCAACACCTATGACTGCTATGGAATTGTGATAAAGAGCACTAGCACATGGGACCAGCAGTTAGCATAATGGCTATGTCGCTGGACTCCCATGTAGTTGACCGCAGTTCGAGTCCCGGACTCGGTGGCTTAAACTCACGCTGGGTGTGTGTGCATGCGTGCCCAAGATCCCAAGAGGAAAATGGAGGAGAAGGGATTGCGGTGTGGCCATCCACTCTGGGGGGTGATTTCTTGCTTTTTGTCTCTCTGTCTCTCTCTGCCTGACTGGTGAGCGAATGCGGCCTATAGCAAAATCCTCTTCAAAAAAAAAAAAAAAAAGAGCACTAGCACAGGGTCTGCAGATGGCAAAATGGTTATGTCACTGGGCTCCCACACAGCTGACCACAGTTTGAGCCCTGGACCCGGTGGCTTAAAACTCATGCTAGGTGCTTGTGCATGCTCAAAATCCAGAGAGAAGAATGGAGGAGAAGAGACTGTGGTGTGGCCATCCTCTCTAGGGGGGAGGGGGGAGTGATTTCTTGTGTTCTGTCTCTCTGGTGAGCACACATGCCCTAGAGCAAATATCTCTCTCTCTAAAACAACAACAACAACAACAACAACAACAACAACAAAACTAACACTAGAGCTTAGCTACTCATTCAGATCTCTACCTTGCCATTTGCTACCTTTTGCAGGAAGCAATGAACACCAGCAATTTTTAGCCAGTTTCAGGAACATATGTCCCCTACCTCAACCACTGGCACCAAGCAGTTGACTTGGCTCAAGTCCTGCTGGCTCTGGTGGAATATGCCAGAGCCAATTCCCAGCTACCATTACTCCAGAACCCAGCAGGCCTGTGGCTTCACATGCAATCCCACTTTACATTTCTGTACCATTTCTAGCCCATGGAGAGGCTTATTTTTGAGCCTGGAGATATTTTTCAGTTTTCCCTTTTAATATTTTATTTATCATGGCTGCGTCTGGAGCAGAGGGAGTGAGTACCTCAAAGCAGGAACTTACTGTGTCACTAGAACCAGAAGTCAATAATACCTCTACAACCTTTAAAAAGAAACATGAAACTTAAATTCTCATTGTAGATTTTCAGAGCTGGAAGGCATGGGAGAGATAATTAAGGCCAATGACTTTATTTTACAGGTGAAGGAATTGTGGTCTTAAGAAATTAAGTGATTTGCCAGAGTCACATATCGAGGGGCTAGTAGCAGGGCCAGACTAAAAATGATGGGTCCTCTCAGTAGTCGTTTTGTCTCTGTATCCATTGTCACAGCTTTCTTTATACTGTCGTTCCATATAATATTTTGTTTTTAACAGAACTGAATCATACATTGAATATAAGCAGAAAAATGACACCACATTTTAAATTGATATAGAATGCTTTCTCTTGGAAAATATTGAGGTGAAAGTAAGAATGTAGTATTCACCACGTTGAGCTGAATATATTTGTATTAGAAGGCACAACCCCTTTAACTCTGTGGATTGCTGCTGCATGGGGTCTCCTTGGTTTTCTGAAACTCGCTAGGATGGGCCCATCAATAGCGGTGCCGAAACTCCCGACCACCTATAGGTCTGGGCCTGAGTGAGCCATGATGAAA